TCACCGAGCCTACATGCCGATTGGGCCACCTCACCACGCAAAAAAAGTTATTCGTGGGCGTGCTTGTGTATGCAAATTTCAGTCCATGTTGTGAATATTCAGGGGGCAGATGCAGTAAGTTAATGTTTTTTTAACGCCGATTTCGCATGCCTTACAGCCATATGCCGTTGTGTGGACATCTTGCTCTTTTAAGGACGAGGCTATTTACATTTGTCTTTACTTGAAATGTGCTGACGCATGTTGCGGCCCAACGCATGAATAGCTGTTGCGTTGTTGTGTGATGGTGGGAAGTGGGTGCAGTTTCTGTATTTTCCCCTGCGCAGCTGGTTGCACCTCTTTGGTAGTAAGATCAGCGAATTGTATATCGGGTGGCGGGGGAGCCTGCAGTCTTACCCGCAGCTGTTGGAGAGTGGCGTCCATATCCCGCGTATGGCGTAAACTGCGTGACCGGTTTACGCGGTTTACACGTGACCGGTTTACGCGGTCACCGGCTCTGACGGCCGTCACAGGTCAGGTCGGCCGCCACCGTGGCGGGTCGACTGTGCAGGGTCGGGTCAGCCGTCACTGGCAGCGGCTGGGTTCGGCGCTAAAAAAGTTATACGCGCACGCGACCTCACCGAGCTTGCAATGCCGATTGGGTTACCTCACCATGCAAAAAAAAGTTATTCGCGGGCGTGCTTGTATATGCAAATTTCAATCGCACGCACGCACGTGGCCGTGGCCATGGCCGTGCGTGCGCATGGCCGTGGCCGTGCGTGTGCCATCGCGTTCCGTGCTTCTCATCAGTTACAATGGGGTTGGCTTTGTGTCGGTCTGTTTTTGTGCGTACCTGTTTGTATTTGCGTCGTTCCTTTGTCCGGTCGTCCGAGTGCATGTACGAGAGGCACAAGGGCCGAGTGGTTAGCGCATCGGGTTTCCACGAGGAGGGCTCGGGCCCGAGCCTCCGAGTCTGATGCTAGTCCCTGAGCGCTGATATCGCCTCTGCAGTCGCTGGCGTTCCATGAACGGTGCGTGACGACGCAGGTCGCGCTGCCTTGGAAAATCCATGTATGGACTTATTTATTGCGTACGTGTTTGTATTGTAGACGTCATATGTGCACCATGTACATCATTTTGCCAAATGCGTCATATGTATTCAGTTTGTAACGAGTACGTTTTTGCTAGTAACTTGTGCGCACGGATGTCCTTCCGTCGCCTCGCCCGTCTGTCTGTCGGTGCTGATGTTACCTTCTGCCGGCCAGTTGGTGCCCGCCTTCCTCGAGCTGCTGGAGTCGGAGGCGGCTTCGGAGCGCGAGGGTGCCGTGCGCGCGCTGCAGCAGCTGGGCGCGCCGCCGCTGGCGCCGCTGCGCCACCTCGTCTCAGCCGACGCCGACGACCGCGTGCGAGCCGCCGCCGAGGGCGCGCTGGCCGAGCTGGGCGGCGAGGGCCGGGCCGCGCTGCACCAGGTGAGCGGCGCCCCCGGCGGCCGACGGCGCGGGGCTCGGCTCGGCTCGGCTCGGCTCGGCCGCCGCCGCCACCGAACGCTGTTTATAGCGGCCAGTGCATCCTGCTGAGCGCTGTGGACGCCGCCGCTCGGCTTGCATTGGACGGTAACCCCGTGCCGGCGGCGTCCGATGCTTGCTCGATACGGCGGGCGTGATTTGTGGGCTGTCTGGTGCTGGGGGGCACCGGCTCCGTGGATGTTGGGGGGCTTCCAAATGAGATGTAAGTCGGCCAGTCTGCAGATGGGCTGCTGTCAGGGCCCGGCTCTGTCGCTACTTTGCGGAAGGGCATTAGCATGTGATGGTGCGGTCGCTAGCGATCTGAGCGAGCCGGTCGGGCCGGCCTGCCCGCGTCGGCCCAGTCCGCCAGACTAATTGCCTGGTTCCACACGTTCTCACGCATACAGCTGACCCGAGCGACGACGTCTCAGCACTAAGCCAGCCTCGTTTGCAGGCGAAGCGGGCGCGCGCCGGTGGGCAGCCGGCCGCTGGCGCACTGCCGCCTGACGCCGGCCTCCGGACCGCGACAGCGCCGCCCGGCCGCGGCGTCCGCCCCACCGTGGCTTTCAGTCGAACGCGACCACATCGAACGGCGCGCCGCGGCGCCGTGCTGCCCTGGGCCGCCCGCGGGCCGCCCCCGTTGTTGTCCGCCGCCGCCCGTTGTTATACTCAAGTCAGTATTTTGCTGCGCGGCGAGGCCGCCCGACTCTTGTAGCGCTTTAGCGCGAGGCCCGCCACCGGCTCCGGCTCCGTGTATCCTGGGGCGACGAAGTGCCGCCCGCTGACGCTGCGCATTCACTAAACCGACACCCAAGTGCCGACCCCGGCCCGGCCCCGGCCCCGGCCCTGTCGCCTGCGTTCCCACCGCGAACACGATCAGATAGCTGAGCATGGAAATCGAGGCTGTTCTCTGGGCGCCGATCTGGCCGGCTACCGTCGGCGCGGACGCGCGGTGCTCCGAACACGGTATGGGCGTCGAATAATACTTGGATCTGAATCGTGTGAAGAGGCTGACTGACCTCGCGACACTAACAGTGCGGCTGCGCTCCTCAAGAAATACACTATATATGCGATGTACACCTCACGTGTATTCATCGATTGACGTGGCACTAAGCGCCTCGGTCAGCGATAAGCATGCTGGGATGAATGAGGCCGAACGCATTGTGCTGTTAAAAAAGCTAAGTGCCTAGAGCTAGTGTACACGTTTCATTGTATGTAAGGCACTCCCTGGTGCAACAAGGAGCCTGTGTGGGGCAAGTGCATATAACCTACGTATCGTTCGTTACTGGGTGCCGAAACGTGCCGATGGCCAAAGCCTGGTACACATCTAGCGTCGTTCCCATGTGTGTGCACATCACGTCAAACAGACCCTTGCGGCGCGGCTCGCCGACGGCGGGCCGCCGCCGCGACATCTCGAACACAGTGATGGCGCCAGCGAGCTAACGTGGACGCCCTGCTCACACGGCTGGAAGAGGTGAGGCCAGTGACGGGGGGGGGGGGGGGGGGGAGGCTCACACGGCTGCCGGAGGTGACGGAGGGAGAGGGGGGCTCACACGACTGGCAGAGGTGACGGAGGGGAGAAGAGGCTCACACGGCCGGCAGAGGTGACGGGGTGGAGGGGAGGGGAGGCTCACACGGCTGACAGATGTGACGGAGGGAGAGGGGGCTCACGCGACTGGCAGAGGTGACGGAGGGAGAGGGGGGGGGGGGGGGCCCACACGACTGGCAGAGGTGATGGAGGGGAGGCTGACACGGCTGGCAGAGGTGATGGAGGGGAGGCTGACACGGCTGGCAAAGGTGACGGAGGGGTAGGCTCACACGGGTGACAGAGAGAGGGGGAGGGGTGCGTCCGACCAGACGATGTGGTGCAAGGCGCAGAGTCCACCGAAGAACTGAACGGAGGACCCAGCCTCTCAGTGTCGGGAGGCCGCCCGAGCTGGCCGGCGGCGGGCGGCTCGGACGCTGCCGCGGCAAGCTGTTAGTCTTCTACGGGACTCACCACGTGGATTTTGCGGATTCCGGCAGCTTGAAAAAGGACGGACATGGCTGTAGTCATGTCCTGGTATGATCGCTGTTTTCGGTTCAAGAGTGCATGGACAAACGACTTAGGAGTATGGCAAGGCGTCAAACGTGAATCAACGAGGACGTGTCCATCGTATGAGCGCCGTCATGAAACGCGCTTTCTTGTCGCTTTTCTCCGAACGCATAACAATACTCAGCTGCGTGATTGCTTGAAACCGCAATGTCCCAGACTCATGTCAGGTGCTCTTCCGAAGGGATCGATTTGTGCTCGACAGAGGAATCAGCTCTGTAGCAAACCGACGATTTTGTCAAGTCAGGGTGAATCAAGTGCTTTGAATTTGGGAGGTGAATCCAAGTTAAATCAACCAATTCCTCAGTACGTCAACCCAAATGCAAATCTAGACAAAAGGCTATATTCACAGTCTCACAGCTTATATGTGCGCATAATTAACCATAGTCATAAAATTCGTTGTAATTGTATATACAAAAACATTTCACATTTTTAATGACAATGCTTTTATCGATGGTATGGTATGAGGGATCTCTTAAGCTAATGCCAATGGAGTTGACTGCATTGGAATCGATGCGGGAATTGAGCCATACTTCCTCGAGTTGGGTCCACTCACTAGCCTCACTAAACTCGAGTCAGGTCCACCCACTGGCTCCACTCCACTTGAGTCGACTGCAAATGGCCTATGCTAGTTGGAATCATAGCCAGAACCCGCTCCACGTGTCTTGAGATGGGATCGGAATCACTTCCGTCGGAGCGGAATCAAGCACGATCGGAGTGGAATCAAGCACAAATCCGCCATCCAGCCCGCGCCGTTTTTGAAAAATCCGATCTGGTACAAGCTGTCCTTACTCAAATGCTCCCAATGGCTTCTCTTCCCCACTGGCTTAATTGACATTCCGTTCTCTACGAATTTATAAGAAACGAACTTGCCCCGTACGCTCACAATCGCCAAACTGAGGACGACGGTCATGTAGATACTTCTCACGGTCAACTCGCCAGCTGGCCAAACATCACGCCGCCAAAAACGCTTTATGAAAATGAACTTGGCCATACGTTTGCATTGCTATATTAGTAACGACGGCATCATTAAAATATTCTTAGTGACAGCAGTCGTAACTGGCATGTTTAAGACGCACATCACTACAGCGCGTGACAAATTCATGATACACACTCCGATGAGCGTTTGTACGGCGGAGGGATCATGGCACGCTTCATTCACCTTGCTTGGCGTCTCCCGCTGGCACACGGGCGCCAGAGATAAGATGATCACGTGTTATCCCATTTTGTACGTAGCCTATCATGGATCCAGTCGGGGAGGTCGGGTGAAGGAGGGGAGGACAGCGACAAGGATAAGGGACGAGACTTCTCAAGAAAGGCGAAAGCACAAGTGCATCGAAACACTATCCAAAGCTTGCATCTCTGTTAACCTTGGCTGGCCCTTAGTATTCTTTTCTTATCGGTCAATGCAATGGTGAGGACAGAGTGGGGATTACAATATCAGCCTCGCACTGGCACAGGCATAGCTGGGACACAGTTACGATACAAGCGCGTTACTTCACCCCATATTAATCAGACGAATGCTTTTGCTGTTAACATTATGCTCAGAACCGCTGTGCCATCTTCGTCGAGGCGTAGCAGTAGCAGTAGAGGTAAATGGGACTTCGAGCGCTCGAGCTGTACGGTCAAAGTGCCCGCGAAGTGTAGTATAAAAACTTATACGCCCGTAGAAAGTACAGTTCAGTGTCCGGAAACCAACATCTAAAACAAGTAGAGACAGACACCTCTGTCGGCCAACCTTGGGCATGACGCATATCTAACATACTCATGCACGGCCGTAGAACCCCTCCCCTGAGCCCGCCGCACGCGCACCAGATCCGTGTGACCCACAGCTGCTGGGAGACGCGTGGTCCGCTGCGCGCTTAAGGCGATGTGGCTGCCTTCCAGGCGGCACGACAGGGGCGGATGTGAGCATTATTGGTTAGATCATCTCACCAGGTGTCCCGGGACGAGCGCAGGCGGTCGGCGCTCACATTACTTACCCAGGCGGGACGAGGGGCACACGTACGCGTGATTCATCGGACTGTGCTGCCAGGCGTCGCAAGGGAGCACGTGTGCGCGTCGACGGTAGGCTACCATCCCGGGTCACATTGGGCTGGGAGGAGAGCGGCAGGGCTTCTGCTACGATTGCCAGCCTCCGCACGGAACTAGGTGCATGTGCCTTCCGTCTGGCGCAGCTAGGGGTGAAGTATGCGTGCCCCGGTAACCGCCGCGGGGATCAGAAATGCGTGCCTCCGATCAGACGCCACAAGGGATCAAGCACGCGTGCCCCGGTCGGGTGACCCCGGACGTGGGCGGCTCAGATGTGCGTATCGCTCGTGGTGTTACCGGGCTCGGCCGGCTCTGGAGGCGGCTCGTCGTGCACGACGAAGTAGCGCCGGTCGCTGAACAGGTCGCCCGTCTCCAGCCGCTCCCAGAAACGCAGCTTCAGCAGCAGGCCTGGAGGCACGAGGACACATGTGAACTGCACTGCATGTGCATGGCGTCTTTCAAGTCACTTAGCCGGGTGAACTCCGTCCGTATTCTGGACTGCTCGGACGGCGGCGGCAGTGACGGCACCAGTGAAATCGCCCGCTTCCGGTAGCCACGTAGCGGTGTATCTTCGTCCCCTGTTCAAAAGACCTAGCTCTGATTTCCCGCTGCAAGGAACTTTCGCCGGACACTGAGCTTTCGCCAGCGTCTGGCAAAGCCGACAGCACCAGCAGTTCAGGGCATCGCAGGATAACCCGGCAGCTGCTAGAAAAGGTTCGGCTGTGTGCAGCGCTCACCCGTCAGCAGACCAGTGACCACGGAGATGACCAGCGTGATGATCAGCGCCAGCATTTGCATGCCGCCCTGGACGGAGGCCGAGCGGCCGGCGACCGGCGTCTCCTCGGCCAGCGCCGTCTCCGCGCGTGCCGGGAAGATCACGAACAGACTGCGGACGAGGCCGACAGCGGTGACCGCCCCGGCCGCAGCATGGTTACCGGCGACGGCACCCCCGTCCAGCGGGCCGTCTCGGGGCCGGCGCCGCGGCGGCGCTGTTGTCACGTACGACCGCCCGCGACATGTCTTGCCCTGTCTTGTTAGTTTCCTCGCGGTGGGAACAGTGAAATTGTTTGAAGACTTATCCCAGCGCCGCACATGGTGCGGTGAGATACACCAGGCCGCTTTGCGGCCTTGCGCCACTTCGGCCGCTGTGCGGCCATTTAATATACACGACCGACGTGAGAAGAACGGTGCCAATTTCAGCTGCAGCATCCCGCGCCGGTGAGTTGCAACGCAGCAGCGCTGTGTTGCGAGTGTCTCGCGAAGAAGCATAGACTTGGCAGTAACGGATGGGGCGGCGGGTCGACACGATCCCTCATCGTTATGCAAGTCGCTACAGTAACGACGTCATGAATGGCGCACGTGCACGATCGCATGAGGAACCGCGTCCGTATCTGTCGGTCGCCGGTGTTACCATCACGGAGTACGTGGGGAGTCTGGCACGCGCACCTGGCTGCCCTGCCGACGCCCGATCCATGCCACGGCGGAAGCCGGCGACCCCAACACACCTGGCTCCGTACTGCTCCGGAGAGGCCATGGCCGCCATGATGGCCCCGACGGTGGAGGCCAGGATCCCGGGCATGCCGTGCAGGTTGTGGACGCCGCATGTGTCGTGGATCCGACAGTGCTTGTCGAGCGCCGGCTGCGACAACAAACAGCACGCGGTGACGGACGGCCGGCGCCGAGCAGCAACTGCCGCCGGCCACGCCCGCCGCTTCGAGACGGGACCGCAGGTCCCGCCTCGAGGAGGGGCCGGGGCAGCTCGAGGCACGGCCGCGCGGGGCGGACACACACACTCGGCGCTCCCCAGGGCGACGTGATGGGTCGAGTTGACGGTGTCTGTGTAAGGCCCGCGGCAAACGGAAAACGATAAAAAAAAACGTCACGAGGGCACCGCTAGGTGGTGGATGCAACTGATACTTAGAGAGCATAACAGGCAGCATCACCTAACGAAGTGCCTCTCACAGGCGCATTTATAGTAGTGCAATGATGTAGATGCTCGTATGAGAGGCACGTTATGTGAATTTATATTCATGCTGCAACTGGGCGCATTCGGTACTTGCGTACTAATTTTGCCAAGCAATGTTCTGTCATGAATGCCGAGCGTCGCATCGCGTTAAGAAAGCTTAACTACACCAAGATACATATACCCACCCCCAGCCTACTGACTGGCCCTAGACACGTATACCTGCCATGGGCCGGAGGAGAGCAGCGCAGCACATGGCAGAAGTCCCTGCCTTGAAAGCGGGGCATTTCACGCTTTCCTGCGATGCTGCGGTACCAAACCCTCACGGCTTCCCACTCTTGCCAACTTCAAGACTGGCCCCGTCCCAGCTAACTCCTGAACCGGACAGCCTGGCCTTATTCTTACCCAAGAACCGCCTGAGCTCCGACACACGCAAGTCCTAGCCCCAGACGACACAGTCACATCCGAGAGTCAGCCTGAGCTCCGACACACGCAAGTCTTAGCCCCAGACGACACAGTCACATCCGAGAGTCAGCCTGAGCTCCGACACCCGCAAATCCTAACCTCAGCCGACACAGTCACATCCGGGAGTCAGCCTGCCTCTCGCCCCATTTACAACACCGCTATGGCCAGCTGAGGCGCCCACTGGACCTAACACCCCTCTGAACAGCCCCGCCACCGCTCTCGCCAGCGCCGGCGCATTTGCCACCAGGCCTGCGCCTCTCGGTCACTCGCCGTGATGAGCTGGAAGCCGACGACGGCGAGGGCGCCGGCGACACTGCCGACCAGCAGGGCGCCGTACGGCTGGACTATCATGTCGGCGGCCGTGCCGATGGCCACGCCGCCCGCCAGCGTGGCGTTCTGCACGTGCTCCTGCGACACGGACGGGGCACGGGATCACCGCCGGGGTCCGCGGCTAGACTCCACCCCTAGGAAGCAGCCCGGTCCGGGTCGGCGGGGCTGAGTGGTGGCCGGTGGACACGGTTTGGGGGTGCGGGAGCAGCTTGTGAAGGTCAGAGGCGAGATCCACGCAGGCCTGCCCGATGGACTTCAAAGCGCGCATGACAGTGAAGTGGCACACGGAGAGCATGCACAGCTGCAAACCGAAGCAAGGATCAAGAGGCCATGCTACTATTTAACGCCAGCGGACAGTTCACAAACAACTACGTGGCTTTCACCTGCCATTTGCAGGAGAGATGAAGCAATTTGCCGAAGAAACGAAAACTGAAGAGGGAATAAAAACATATAAGCACACGCACGCACGCACGCACGCCCGCGGACGCACGCACGCGCACGCACAAACGCGCACGCACTCACGTACGCACGCGCACGCACACACACACACACACACACACACACACACACACACACACACACACACACACACACACACACACACACACACACACATGCCAGCACTAAACGACGCTTGAAAAGTATATTGCCAAATATATTCCGTAATGAAGAACTCCACAGTCGTACGGTCGGTTAACAATTCTAGTCGGTCAACAGCGCAGATGAGTAAAAAGGACGATATCACATGAAGAATTGCGATGAAAAGAAGTGTCCCACCTTCGGAACATATTTCAAGAACATACTTTGGAGAAACCTAAGTTTGTTTAAACCTGAGTAAAACCTAAGTAAGTTTAACCTAAGCTCCGTTTGATTATATCGCTGGGAAGTGACATCGCGGCACCGTCAAAACACAGTAAGAATATCAATTTTAATCATTTTCGAGCCTAAATCACGCTGTCAGCGCTTTGTAACATCACCACGCTTCTCTTGCGATCAATCCCTGCGGACGCAACAACCGCTGCCATGACAATCGCCGTGCGCACCTTTACTGGTGCGAATGAAAGAGCGTTTATGATTGGCCCAGCGGGCAGGGGCCTGCTAGGCCAGTCGAGGAGCGTATAGTTGAAGTTCGAGCTAGGGCGTTATTTGGATTGAGTCATACTTCCGTTCATCAAGTCAGAGTGCGCCTCGAAAAGAACCATTGTGGGAAACGTGACATGGGAGAATTCAAAGCTCTAATCAAACACTTCGCGAAATTTGCGAGACAACAGCTTCATGCTCGCATATCGTTTTGTCTAAACAGTGTTTCAAGCTTTCGTAGCACTTATCACTCGGACATTTTGGCGGATAAGTGTGCTGCAAACGGTAATGACTCCCTGCTTCAACAGATCAACGTATTGGAGCAGGGAGTCAAATGAGGTTTCTCGCACAGGGTCGGAATTTAGGTCGAAGGGTTGAAATTTTGAATAGCTCAGAATTTCTATTTGTAGTAACAAATAGAAATTCGGCGCTATTCAGAAGAACTGCAGGAAAACTGGCGTTACTGATTAAATCGTGCGCATCTGATGCAACAATAAGAGAAAAGTATAAAATGGTGGAAAATCCCCTTTGAAGGTAAAGTTCCACAACGGAAGATATTGAAGCAAGCATCAGATATAACAAAATATTTCCATTATAATTGTTGGTATATTTTTCAGTGAAAAAGAGTGCTCCAGACGATACATTTTCTCTGTTTAGTAAACGTGCTCCTCAAGACATAATTGTTTGGTAACGTCATCGTAGCTTGCAAGACATTGATGGAGAGCCAATTGACCGCCGCTATGCCTGGAAAGCGTGTTCACCAACGCCGGATATAAACGACTGGACAATGATGTTTTGATTGGCCTTGATCGCCGCAAGGCTAATCAAATGGCGGGGTTTCAATGACTATTGTTTTTTTATTGACTTATTGACTTGACTTATTTAGCGTTCTGAATGCTGAGTGATCTCGAAATAGTCCGAACATCTTCGCGGGCGTGTAGTTCAGACAAGAGGGATTTGGGTCTTAAGAAGAACAGGGCTGTGTGTACCGAATGATTTTCAAGAAGACTCTTTCCAGTTCAAAACCCGACACAAATGTGGGACTCTCCCTTAAAGGGTTGTAGTGTAGTTCCTTAAAGGGGTGCCGGTAGTGTGTTAACCACGGCGTGTCTGAGAAGCCGAAGGTACGGGGTTCGATTCCCCGCGGTGCCCGCCCTTCCTGCCAGGGCGAGAGGCAGGCGACGCCATATAGCCCTAGCAGTTGAGTGCGTCGTAAAGCCGCAATGACGTGGCGCGACGTAGTTCCTTCAGAGTCTTGCAAGATCCACGCCCGAAACAGCTGCCTCTGTCGTAGAAGGAATCTTTCACAAATGAGGCGAACCTCCATTACACATCACTCTGCGGCGAATGTGATGCCGCGTGGAGAGTGAGTGTGTGCCTGTTTACGCATGACGCATGAATGCATTACGGCCGTTGTATACATTGCGGGACAGTAGCACCCATGCCAGTAGAGAGGTCGGTGCAAAAGCGAAAAGCAGGGCAGGTCTCGTTTGGTGGAGCTCTTGCAGAGATTTGGAGCTGTTTTGCTGACACAAAAACGAATCGGCAGCAAGGACGCCCAGGGAACAGTCATAACCTGAGCTAACAGAGCAGCGTGCACCGAAAAAGTACAGAATGAAGGGGGAAGCTGGGCCAGGACGGCCTACTTCAAGTTCCCTGTCAAGCGGTGAAGTCTTACACTGGCGACATCCCCAGCAATCTGGCAGCATATTAATTGCGTTTCGACTAAGGTGACAGGAGGGCCCGACCCAGCCAGCGTGTTACCGCTCCGCAGCGTTTGATAAATGAATGGCTCGTCGGGAATGAATATTTGAAAGTGAGTTAAGTTAAAGTTTTTGGTTGGTTGAATTTCTTAGACCAAAACCCACGTTCAGCAATGGCTACCATCCTCAAAAGCACCGCAATACAACACAAGTCAGAAGACAGTGAGGAAATTGTTGCGGCTATGATATCATCGCAATACACGGTGAGCGATAATTCACGATCCAACTAATATACCGGGTGTATTACTGTATTTTCTGATCCTGATTGTCGTCCGAAAACTTTCAGCAATGCTTTTCTCATCGCACTATGAGAGTGGCATCCCAGCTCTCAAACCCCATACCCGCTCCTACAAAAATATACGCCACCGCTGGCAAGGATCTTCAAACTGCATGGAGCGATTTACAACATACAACTCGTTAAGTTTGCTCCAGAACTTGACGAATTTAGAGACGACCCGTGTTTCTGCCGGGCCGAGCCAGAAGTTTACTGAAGACTTACCATTCGTCATTGCTGGCTTGCACGATAGAATAAGGCTGTCAAAATCAGGTGCTGATAATGATTTTCCAAATAAGACTAGTTACCAAGCATGCTCAGCGTTGAGACCTGGTCGTTCTATTAAGCGATGGAGCTGGTGTTCAAGCCGACAGAATAACTGGGTTGACCACTCCTTTTGGGATACAGGTACTGAAAAATATACTGTAGGAACGTGTTCTGATAAAACATTATCACCACAACTGCAACGTGAGAATAAAACACAGACTTAAACACCTTGCACTCAATGAAAACCGAATTCAAATCTATGCACAAGCCTCTGACATCAACTGCAATCGGAATTTTGCAGCCTTGCAATCCAATCACCTCTGCCTCTGCCGCCTATGCATGAACATTAAAGCTTTCGAGGGTGCTTCATTACAACCAAGTTGAAGTACACGGTATGTGCCGTTTGCATATTGCTCAGGGATTGTCGTTCACTCCCAGCACCTCTTGGCAAATGTCTGTGTATTTCATCTGCCGGCGCTAAGTAAAGGCCCGGCTACAGGCCAGTAACACCTCCTCAAGTGACCATCAGCACCGCGTGAACCGGGCCCTTCTGAAGCAGCCGGTAGCAAGGGTAACGCTGCACCGTTGCGGCGGTTCCTCTCGCTTGCCAGACCTCTCTTGGATGGTCCAGCAGATCTCCCGAGTGTTGCGGTGCTCTGGTCCGGCAGACCTCCCGCGTGTTGCGGTGCTCTGGTCCGGCAGACCTCCCGAGTGTTGCGGTGCTCTGGTCCGGCAGACCTCCCGAGTGTTGCGGTGCTCTGGTCCGGCAGACCTCCCGAGTGTTGCGGTGCTCTGGTCCGGCAGATCTCCCGAGTGTTGCGGTGCTCTGGTCCGGCAGACCTCCCGAGTGTTGCGGTGCTCTGGTCCGGCAGACCTCCCGAGCGTTGCGGTGCTCTGGTCCGGCAGACCTCCCGAGTGTTACGACGCTCTGGTCCAGCAGACCTCCCGGGCGTTGCGGTGCTCTGGTCCAGCAGACCTCCCGAGTGTTGCGGTGCTCTGGTCCGGCAGATCTCCCGAGTGTTGCGGTGCTCTGGTCCAGCAGACCTCCCGAGTGTTGCGGTGCTCTGGTCCGGCAGATCTCCCGAGTGTTGCGGTGCTCTGGTCCGGCAGACCTCCCGAGTGTTGCGGTGCTCTGGTCCAGCAGACCTCCCGAGTGTTGCGGTGCTCTGGTCCAGCAGACCTCCCGAGTGTTGCGGTGCTCTGGTCCGGCAGACCTCCCGAGTGTTGCGGTGCTCTGGTCCGGCAGACCTCTCGAGCGTTGCGGTGCTCTGGTCCGGCAGCCCTCCCGAGTGTTGCGGTGCTCTGGTCCGGCAGACCTCCCGAGCGTTGCGGTGCTCTGGTCCGGCAGCCCTCCCGAGTGTTGCAGTGCTCTGGTCCGGCAGCCCTCCCGAGTGTTGCGGTGCTCTGGTCCAGCAGACCTCCCGAGTGTTGCGGTGCTCTGGTCCGGCAGACCTCCCGAGTGTTGCGGTGCTCTGGTCCGGCAGACCTCCCGAGTGTTGCGGTGCTCTGGTCTGGCAGACCTCCCGAGTGTTGCGGTGCTCTGGTCCGGCAGACCTCCCGAGTGTTGCGGTGCTCTGGTCCGGCAGACCTCCCGAGTGTTGCGGTGCTCTGGTCCGGCAGACCTCCCGAGTGTTGCGGTGCTCTGGTCCGGCAGACCTCCCGAGTGTTGCGGTGCTCTGGTCCGGCAGACCTCC